TTACAGTTACAGTTACAGTTACAGTTACAGTTACAGTTACAGTTACAGTTACAGTTACAGTTACAGTTACAGTTACAGTTACAGTTACAGTTACAGTTACAGTTACAGTTACAGTTACAGTTACAGTTACAGTTACAGTTACAGTTACAGTTACAGTTACAGTTACAGTTACAGTTACAGTTACAGTTACAGTTACATTTACATTTACATTTACATTTACATTTACATTTACATTTACATTTACATTTACATTTACATTTACATTTACATTTACATTTACATTTACATTTACATTTACATTTACATTTACATTTACATTTACATTTACATTTACATTTACATTTACATTTACATTTACATTTACATTTACATTTACATTTACATTTACATTTACATTTACATTTACATTTACATTTACATTTACATTTACATTTACATTTACATTTACATTTACATTTACATTTACATTTACATTTACATTTACATTTACATTTACATTTACATTTACATTTACATTTACATTTACATTTACATTTACATTTACATTTACATTTACATTTACATTTACATTTACATTTACATTTACATTTACATTTACATTTACATTTACATTTACATTTACATTTACATTTACATTTACATTTACATTTACATTTACATTTACATTTACATTTACATTTACATTTACATTTACATTTACATTTACATTTACATTTACATTTACATTTACATTTACATTTACATTTACATTTACATTTACATTTACATTTACATTTACATTTACATTTACATTTACATTTACATTTACATTTACATTTACATTTACATTTACATTTACATTTACATTTACATTTACATTTACATTTACATTTACATTTACATTTACATTTACATTTACATTTACATTTACATTTACATTTACATTTACATTTACATTTACATTTACATTTACATTTACATTTACATTTACATTTACATTTACATTTACATTTACATTTACATTTACATTTACATTTACATTTACATTTACATTTACATTTACATTTACATTTACATTTACATTTACATTTACATTTACATTTACATTTACATTTACATTTACATTTACATTTACATTTACATTTACATTTACATTTACATTTACATTTACATTTACATTTACATTTACATTTACATTTACATTTACATTTACATTTACATTTACATTTACATTTACATTTACATTTACATTTACATTTACATTTACATTTACATTTACATTTACATTTACATTTACATTTACATTTACATTTACATTTACATTTACATTTACATTTACATTTACATTTACATTTACATTTACATTTACATTTACATTTACATTTACATTTACATTTACATTTACATTTACATTTACATTTACATTTACATTTACATTTACATTTACATTTACATTTACATTTACATTTACATTTACATTTACATTTACATTTACATTTACATTTACATTTACATTTACATTTACATTTACATTTACATTTACATTTACATTTACATTTACATTTACATTTACATTTACATTTACATTTACATTTACATTTACATTTACATTTACATTTACATTTACATTTACATTTACATTTACATTTACATTTACATTTACATTTACATTTACATTTACATTTACATTTACATTTACATTTACATTTACATTTACATTTACATTTACATTTACATTTACATTTACATTTACATTTACATTTACATTTACATTTACATTTACATTTACATTTACATTTACATTTACATTTACATTTACATTTACATTTACATTTACATTTACATTTACATTTACATTTACATTTACATTTACATTTACATTTACATTTACATTTACATTTACATTTACATTTACATTTACATTTACATTTACATTTACATTTACATTTACATTTACATTTACATTTACATTTACATTTACATTTACATTTACATTTACATTTACATTTACATTTACATTTACATTTACATTTACATTTACATTTACATTTACATTTACATTTACATTTACATTTACATTTACATTTACATTTACATTTACATTTACATTTACATTTACATTTACATTTACATTTACATTTACATTTACATTTACATTTACATTTACATTTACATTTACATTTACATTTACATTTACATTTACATTTACATTTACATTTACATTTACATTTACATTTACATTTACATTTACATTTACATTTACATTTACATTTACATTTACATTTACATTTACATTTACATTTACATTTACATTTACATTTACATTTACATTTACATTTACATTTACATTTACATTTACATTTACATTTACATTTACATTTACATTTACATTTACATTTACATTTACATTTACATTTACATTTACATTTACATTTACATTTACATTTACATTTACATTTACATTTACATTTACATTTACATTTACATTTACATTTACATTTACATTTACATTTACATTTACATTTACATTTACATTTACATTTACATTTACATTTACATTTACATTTACATTTACATTTACATTTACATTTACATTTACATTTACATTTACATTTACATTTACATTTACATTTACATTTACATTTACATTTACATTTACATTTACATTTACATTTACATTTACATTTACATTCACCTTCACCTTCACCTTCACCTTCACCTTCACCTTCACCTTCACCTTCACCTTCACCTTTACCAAAAATGACGTCAAAACTCCCTTTTCGCGAGTTTTGGTTTTTTTTTTGCCTTTGCCTTTACCTTTACCTTTACCTTTACCTTTACCTTTAGTTTACCTTTACCTTTACCTTTACCTTTACCTTTACCTTTACCTTTACCTTTACCTTTACCTTTACCTTTACCTTTACCTTTACCTTTACCTTTACCTTTACCTTTACCTTTACCTTTACCTTTACCTTTACCTTTACCTTTACCTTTACCTTTACCTTTACCTTTACCTTTACCTTTACCTTTACCTTTACCTTTACCTTTACCTTTACCTTTACCTTTACCTTTACCTTTACCTTTACCTTTACCTTTACCTTTACCTTTACCTTTACCTTTACCTTTACCTTTACCTTTACCTTTACCTTTACCTTTACCTTTACCTTTACCTTTACCTTTACCTTTACCTTTACCTTTACCTTTACCTTTACCTTTACCTTTACCTTTACCTTTACCTTTACCTTTACCTTTACCTTTACCTTTACCTTTACCTTTACCTTTACCTTTACCTTTACCTTTACCTTTACCTTTACCTTTACCTTTACCTTTACCTTTACCTTTACCTTTACCTTTACCTTTACCTTTACCTTTACCTTTACCTTTACCTTTACCTTAATCTTTACCTTTACCTTTACCTTTACCTTTACCTTCACCTTCACCTTCACCTTCACCTTCACCTTCACCTTCACCTTCACCAAAAATGACGTCAAAACTCCCTTTTCGCGAGTTTTGACTAACTTCGCTAAGATTGAACTTGCAATTGTATCACATATATACATATACATGCACACAGGCGCGATTGCGTAAAAACACGTACACGATCATATATGAAATTTAATTTCCTTGTTGCTATCTATTTGTTCCACTCTTCCCAGTGATTACCTGCCCGCCCCCAACAACCACCAACGGCAACTTCAACTGCCCGTCCCACCACTACCAGTCCATGTGTGTGCTGACGTGTGATGACGGCTACCAGACACGGGGCGACACACAGGTCACGTGTCAGGCTGACAAAACCTGGTCCAGACACGAGCAATGTCAAGGTGAGAGGTTCTAGAACAATCTTCAGGTGAGAGATTCTAGAAATAAAGATAATTTCATTATAAAATCATGTTTAAAAATATGTAATTTAGTAACTCCCTAAAACTAAAGCCAGGCTATACTGCCAATAAGTTATTATGAAATAAATGCTTTTTCAATAAGTACGAAGACCAAAAACTTACTTTACGAATTCACAATAACCTATATATATGTTTTAATTGTTCTTATTATTTAGATGCATTACCCCCACAAATAAACTGTTTACCCATAATTGAGACCTTCGCTGGTCCAAAACGTAGCCCCACCCCCGTGACATGGGTCACCCCGTCTGTCAGTGACAACTCCGGTGTCAGTTTGACAGTGTCAAGTGATGTAGCGTCTGGCAGCAAGTTCTCCGTTGGACGTCACACGGTGACGTTTACAGCCACGGATGACGCGAGGAACTGGGGAACATGCAGGATGGCAGTAAGCGTCAAAAGTGAGGCTTGCTCTTATGATTTTATTCTCCTGGTTAAAGTACGGTTGTTTTTTTTTCTACCATTGTCTGAGCTTCTTACAACCCATTTTCTCTCTGCCCTAGTCATCTTCTGCCCTGAGTACCTACAACCCAACGATTCTGATGTATCCTGCTCTCATGGAAACGAGTACGGGTCAGAATGTGTAACAACATGTCACCAAGGCTACGAGTTGGCCAACCTGGCAAGTGACAGGCAAGAGTGCCAGGAAAACCGTACCTGGAGCGACGATGTACCAGTTTGTATCCGTAAGTTTGTTTTTTTTTTATTTGTAAAAAAAAAATTTCAAATATTCCATCAAAACTTCAATGGATATTCCTTAAAACTTTTTTTTTAATCTTCAGTCATTTTTTTTTTAATCGGGAGTTATTTATACGCTCTCGTATATACTTATACCCAGAGTTTCTTCCAGACTTCTTCGTGAGGGGAGGGGGTAGGGTCAGACCCCCCCACCAAAGAAAGTCTACCGCCCCCCCCCCTCCCCTCCCGAACAAAATGGAATTTGTATAAAAAACATATTTTTACCAGTGTCCGCCCCCCCCCCCCCCCACATCCCCGAAAATATCAAGTGCCCCCTCCCCCCGGAGAAAAAAGTCTGGAAGTAACACTGCTTATACAACAGTAAGGGTTGTGATGCCTACTCCTGGCTATATAGTAAAGTAAAAAAACAACTCTTTAGACTAGCCATCCATTGATAAAGGAGAGTTTCTTTTGGTTCTTGACCTCGGCATATGAAGGGAAGCTGTGATCAGCACTATGCCGAGTTTGCCTTGACTTTCATTAACATTAGTTAGGTACACATCAGAGCAGAGAAGACTGAGAGGTGTTCATCAGACTCAAACCCTAAATTGGACTCGAGACTTGTGGGTTAATAGCCTAGCGCTCTGCCGCTTAGTTCACGTGGTCCCATAATCAAGCTTAGAAAAATAGAATTTTGTAGCCAAACCGTTCTTTTTCAGAAAGATTTGAAGGCGAAGATTGCATGGAAATGCTCCTTAAATATACAATAAAGGTTTTGATAAATCCGAGAGTAAAGCACCGTGTTAAGTTACCGGAAATCGCTAAAAATGTGGAAAAAAATACCTACAGGAACTGATGCTTACATTTGAAAGTTTTGGTTCACATAAGTGAAATGGTTATTAAGTTATCGGTATTATGGTATTAGGAATTGACTAGTATCACTTCCGGTTACGAGAAACTGTTTAGGGTTTCATAGAAATCTATGAATGGGATTCAATCTAATATGTAAACCTCAAACAGATTCTGTGGCTATGTAGTCATGTGTATGTATGTGACAACGGACAGAGGACGGATCCTTGGCCAAAAAAAGCTATAGAGGAAAAAAAAACTCGACTTGATTGCCATCTAAAGTGGTAATTCTCTAAATTAATAAATTAAAAAAGGATTATATAAGGTTTTGTAAAATAAATTTCATTTCCCAAACGTATAATATTAATTAACGCAATGTTAAATAAACAAAGTAAAAAAATAAAACTTCACAAAAATTTAAAAAGTGTACAAATTACTTCACTTTGTTCCTTAATTGCCAATTACTTCCCTAGATAGATAAAAAAAATGGTATCAGGACAACTGATCTCAGGACAAATTATCTCAAGGACTAATGATTTTACGGAAAAAAGATCTCAGGACCAAATATATCAGAACAAATGATACCAAAGAAAAAAGATCTCAGACAAAATATCTCAGACATAAATCTCACACCTAAATATTATTGTATTTATGAGATTATAGTCAATTTTAACATTTATTTTTAATTGTCAGGTGAATTTTATTTACTTTTAAAAAAAAATTTTGAGATATTAATTTCGTAAGAAAATATTGTCTGGGATATTTTGTCTGAGATAATCTGTCCTGAGATAATTTTTCATGGAACCCAAAAAATGTTTTTACTTCCCTTTAAAAAAACCATTACACCGGAGGAAAAAAAATACTTTTTAGCGCAATTTCCATTCTGGAGAATAGCGTTTATTAACTCGTCTTTTCTGTGAATGGATTATTTGATGGATGGATGGATGTATGTCCGCAGCTTTAAGTCGTATCTCCTCCTCAACGAAGCAATATCGAGGACTAGTTCCAAAAGCAAATATGTTGACAGGTTACCAGGATGAACATAGGCTAAAACAATTTCGGGTTTCTTTCATGGATTTCCCGGAAAAGCCAAATAAACCTCGAAAAAATAATGCAGTTTTTGGTCCATATCTCGGCAACCAGACCACTTAGCGACTTGAAACATGTACCAATCGATTCCTGCCATAATTTAGAACAATATTGCCGAAGAAAGTTTTTAAAAATATCCTTTCGTTCGGTCACAAAATTTTTTTTGAATTAATTAAAATTTGGACCGAATTAGTAGGCATTTTATCCAACCACACCACACGCGTCATCACGTTCAATAGCTGCGCCATCACGTTCAATGGCTGCGACATCACGTTCGGTAGCTAGGCGCGCAATGGTTTTTAGTCATGTTACTCTATTGTAAATAAAACATGTAAAATACTGAAAAAAAAAATTAATAAAAAACGTTTTAATAACTAACCAATGGTTTTACTAACCCTGCTCTTGATTTACGCTACGACAGAGCTATTTTTAGATAACATAAGGAAATTGCGCTAAAATTGTCACTAGACTTTTTTAATTACTTGTTTACTTAGTTTTGGTGTTGAAAAAAGTTTATTATATAATTAGCGCGGATTGATAAAGTGCAATGTAGTAGGTAAAACACAGATATTTTAAATACTTCTTTTTATTTATTTTATACACTGAACGTACTCTTTACTAAATATTACTTTTAATAAAAGACAGTTTAGACGCCGCTCTTAAATTTTCTCTATGTTTACTTCTATCTATCGGTTTGCAGAAAAGCTGGGTGTATAATAGTCGTTCACTGAATTGAATCAGACATGCCTGCCCGCGCCCCGGCAGGGTTCGCCATGGGCTATCTTGTGAGCGCTATGGTGAATATGTTCGTTTTAAACCGTGCGATAGACTATCGATAAGAAAGGTTACGATAGTCCAGGCGTCTTCCGGCTCCACAACACGGTGCTATTTGGCGCCCCGTGCCTTCCCGTTAGCGCTATAGCGCCTATGTTCGGTTTAGTGAGTTCGATACACAATGGATAAAATGGGGTTAATATAGTCCTTAACGAAATCGAATCCGAGCATCCACCGGCGCTTAGGCGGGGTGCTAATTGGCGCCCGGGTGTTCCCGTGAGCGCTATGGTGGGTACGTTCTGATTAGTGAGTTCAATAAACTATGGATAAGATGGGATATTATAGTCGTTTACTAGGTCGTATCAGGCGTTAAGGTTTTTGTTGGTTGTGGTTAATATTAAGTTTAAAGTTAGAGTTGGGTATAGGGTTATGCGTTATTTTGTCAAACGTCAATGCCTGGTATATGCTGCTCAATAAACACACAAGCCATGGTCCTTTACAGTTAGGTTTTTAACAGAGGCCAGTGCAGGGCCTGGCCGAGACGGCTAATAATATTATATAATTAACTCCACCAAACAGAAACGGTACAGATATTCACTAACAGATAAAAGGTTGCCAATCTAAGATTTTTCGACTCATATTTCGAGTTTTTGCACGATTAAAATACGTGCCTATATTATGTATACGATAAAAATAACTAGTGGGCTATGATTAGCCTCTATGGGACGGAGTGGTTTAGCGGTAGAGAGCTGGACTGCTAACCCGTAAGTCTCGAGTTCAAATCCTGGTTCAAGTCAGTAGACAGTCCCTGAGTCCACCCAACTCTGATGGGTACCTAACTCACGTTAGGGAAAGTAAAGGCGGCTGGTCATAGTGCTGACCACACTATCTCTTCATATGCCGAGGTCACAGAAACAAGTGAACTCTACTTCACTTGCCCCATAGACCGTCAGGTTTGACAAAAGAACTTTACTTTTATGATTAGCTTCTCGTGGCTTTCAATAAATAAACAAAATTGCGTGGTCAAATCATTGTCAACAGCTATAAGCGATAGACTACGTCGAGAAAAAAATTAACAATATTTTATGTATGTAATTTGTTCTTAGTTTTACGATGTTTTCTCAGTTGCAACGGTATGTTTTATTTTATTTCATAGGTGTTTGAGATTTTAAAAGATTCAATTTAAAACAAGTTGTTTAGGAAAATTTGAGAGAATAATTTCAAAAACAAATTGAGACAACATTTCTCGTAACTCTGATCATACTTCTTCACAGCAAGATCCTGCGACCCTCCTCGACAGATAGTGCAGGGAAATTTTACCTGTCCCCTGGGCCACGTCTTCAGGCACGTCTGCCACCTACAGTGTAACCATGGTTACCAAATCACCGGACCGGCAAATATTACCTGTGGCATTACGGTCCAATGGTCACATCCCGGAATCTGTTTAGGTAATTATTTGTAAGCAAGTTTCAGTTTCAACAAAAGGTAACAAATAACGCTTTTCTTGTAAATATACACAGGATACTTGACATGTTTTCATTGTTGCAGTTTGTAATGAAACTATTTATATATGTTTAGTTTAAATACAGTGCAAGCCTATCACACTACTATTTGTGTTAGTAAATAAATGAGCACCCCAAGATGTGAGCGCCACCTCTCGCCCCTATAATTCAATAAATGTCCTCCAATATATCTGAGTGCCCCTATATGTAATCCCTGACAGGAGTGGGGGGAGGGGGAGTACTATATCTATGTCCCTAGGCTTAATTTAATTATCAGTTAAGTGCAAGTCCGGCTGAACCCACACTGGTTAAAATCCTATTTTTAGTCGAGATAAAAAAAAACACAAAATATAAAAAAGCTTATCAGTCATATTTACATTTTTAAAAATGGAACCATCGATAAATAAACCGGGAGTGATCTCCCGTAAACTTTCTAGAATATTCTTATATAACACAACGGGACACGGGAATATAGACATGATTTTTAATAACTTTTAAACTTTTAAAAATAGAATAGAATCTCGTAGAAATAAAATTGCGCACCAAGTGAACACCAACCAAATTGTGTATAATAGTTTGGAATATTATTAGTACTTGATAAATTCCATGCGTTTTTGAGAGATCGGAAATAGCTTAAATTACTACTTCCGGTTAACGGGAAATACTCAAAATGTGACAGAAGGCGGTAAAATTTCATTTATCTATTTGAAATAGTATGCAAGTTATAGGCTTTTGAAAAATTGAAAGTAAAAAAGTTCCTTTTCTGTTTATCGGAAATCAATGAAAATTTGACACAGATCTACAATTTTGATGTAATACTTATATATGAAATTTCATCAACATACCTGTTACGGGACTCAAGTTATCGTGTTTACAGAAACACACACACACACATACACACACAAACACACAAGATACCAAAATTATGTTTTTCCGACTCAGGGAGGGTAAAATGTCAAGATTTGCAAAAATCAGGATTTCTTTCAAATTTATTTGCACAATTACAATACGTTCTCTATACTTCGTATATGAAAAAGAAAAAAAACGGGAGTGATTTCCCCTAAACTTTCTCGAATATTGTAGTGTGGTTGTACTAGATCTATTGCTACTAAATCTTGTACTAAACAGAGAATCTAGAATCTACATTAACCAGATCTAGATAACCTATAATATATTACTGCATTTGATCAAATTCGTCTACTTAAACTCTAAATGCAAACAGAATTACTAACAGTATTTTTATTTAGAAATTTCGGCCACATATTTATGTTATCCACGACACTGTCAATAACAGTATAAGGATCTTCAATTCCTAAGATTTCAAGTTTTTTTAACATATTTTTCCTTTTCCGCGGGTGCGGTTCTTTACATACAGTGAACGCGTCCAGCGCTGGTGAACAGCTGATTGTGTTTACTTCTGGTGTACACCACTGTGGCGGCGGACGCAGGTATCACGTGCTTTAGGTCACGTGTTTGCAAGGACTCTATAAGGGCATGCGCGTAAAAATAATGAATGAGAAGAGATTCATTGATACGTTTGACCAATCATACAATAGTACAGTAAATCAAAATAATCTACGATAGGTTGCAACTAACCACGTGCGCTAAGCAGCCATCTTGTATCTAGATAAACAAAACAATCGTCTGTCTTCGTTTGTTTACATCATTTGCATATACTCTTCTATTTGTTGTTTTAAAGTTATACAACAACAGCAAGTTTAAAAATTGAAACTTTGCCAAGAAAGGTACTGTTAATTGTCCCTTGAACACTATTAAACACTGTTTCGTACGCTTTATACTAAGCTGAAACAATGCGTCATAGACATGTCTGTCAGTTTAAAGAATGTACTGTCCGTCCCCTTTATCCCCCTCATCCCCTTCTCGCCATTCAACCAACGGCCGGTTTATAATCTTGTTACGACATGCTGTGATAGGCTTGAACACGTTCATCAGGCTTTACACCGGACTGTATACGACACATGTGTTAATGTGTATGCCCATCTCTCCGTATAGGGTGTGGTAGCAACGAATGTAAATACTAGATGGGATAGCTGAGAAGCATTCACTTAGGCCATGTACTTGACCCTATCTACACAGATGTGTTACTCACGGTTGAATGAGCATTGGTAATCTGTGGCTCAACGGTTCTTCACGCACTATCCAGCGGTGGGGTGGGGTGGAGGTGAACGGAAAAAAGTCACAGGAAAAAAAAACACAGAAAAAAGTAACAGTTTTTGCTAGGGAAAAAGCCACAGAAAAAAGTCACAGTGGAAAAATTTTATCGGAACTTTTGTTACGTATTTAGTTAAATACGCGGTAGAAAAGTTAATTATAAAAGAAATTTAGGCACATTTTGCCGTAGGCTATTCTCTGGTCGGCCTCTCCTCAGTAGGCATTGTCCAAACATATTTTGTGTTGTTGACGTTGTGCGTCAATGACAGCCTTTAAACCTTGTCGGCTTTCTGTTTTTACTTTCTCGTATATACGAAGTAGACCTATATAGAAAGTCTTGTAATCGTGCACAAAAATCACATGAAATTTGGACAGTTCTCACCGCTTTACACCTCAGTTCTTCATCACATCCGGAGTATAGAGGACTTTTTTTAATCGGGCAAAAATTATAAATCCAGATATATCAAAATTTTGGCGTTTTATGCGTAATCGAGTCTGAAAAACTAGGCTTTGTAATTCTGTCCGTATGTCTGTGTGTGTGTGTGTGTGTGTCTGTAAACACGATAACTTGAGTACCGTTACAGCTAGGTTGATGAAATTTCATATATAAGTATAATATCAAAATCGTAGATCAGTGTCAAATTTTGAGCGATTTCCGAAATCCGGAAGTGGAACTTTTTCTACTTTCAATTTTTCAAAAGCCTATAACTTGAGTACTATTTCAGATAGGTGAATAAACTTTAAAACGCACGTAAAAGATCTAAGTTTCTGCCTACTGTCAAATTTTGAGTAACTTCCGTTTACTGGAAGTAGTAATTTTCGCGATTTCCGATTTCTCAAAAAACGCATGTGAATTTATAAAGTACTAATAATATTTCGCACTATTATACACATTTTCTTTTGCATTCACTTAGTCTGCAATCCTTTTTTTTCCACGAGATTCTTCTATTCTATTTTATAAAGTTTAAGTAATTAAAAATCATGTCTATATCCAGAGTTGCCATCCTCCGTAGTGTTATATAAGAATGTTCGAGAAAGTTTAGGGGAGATCAATTCCGGTTTATTTATAAAAGGAAACGCATAGTGCCTTTTTCCTCCTTTCTTTGCACGTTTTCTCAACTTTGCATTTTTACTCAAAATTCAACATACAAATCGCTAAGGCTTTGGAACCCTTTGTCATACAAGACTTAAACATTCCACATGCATTTAGCTTTATACCATCTACAAAACTACGTTTATACATTAAGTTTACTACAATACTTTAGAAACTAATACTTTAGAAACTATTGATATTTATGTGGCACCACCACCCAATTTGTGTACATACATTTACCTAAAAATTTGTGTTAAAAATTGAGTACGAGCTATCGCAATGAACAAAAGTAGAAATGTATAGTTTGGTTTGTGAAATCTAAATCTTTCATCCGCTTTTAAAAATTTCTTATGGGAACAAATTTATAGAGGTTTGAATAGGTGTTCGTTTTCACACCTTTTCGCGGTTTCCATGGCAACCAGTACTTTTATTGACGGCTATATATTAGTTTTGTATATAGTTTAACAACTATAAACATATGAACTTATTAAACACCCAGAAATATGTTAAATAACAAAAAAATTCTATCCGTGGTGCCTATCCTTAAATACCCGCTCGACCGGAAGGGAAACCCTGTAGCCGCTGTCCAGAACAACATTCACACACAGATTCGCACACAATAAAATAATACAAAATAAATCAACCATTCACCCCCGTTCACATAAATAATTCAATAAATGACCTCCCCTAGATATGAGCGCCCCTCTATAATTCAATAAATGATCTCCCCTAGATATGAGCGCCCCTCTATAATTCAATAAATGACCTCCCCTAGATGTGAGCGCCCCCTACTTCCCCGCCGGCTGCACTGACCATATGAAAGTGGAGGCTGCAAGTCTAGGAGAGCCGACCTACGTCATCTACCAGCTACCGGAAGTTCAAGACAACTCTGGGATGGAGGTCACAGTTACAGGCTACCCTGTGTCAGGGTCCAGCTTCAGTCTGGGCACAACGGAAGTCACCGTCACGGCGACTGACCTTGAGGGAAACAGCGACAACTGCAGCTTCAGTGTTCTTGTCGAGTGTAAGCTACGCGTCATTTGTCTCCCATTGAGAATTATTTTACATTGTTTATCCCAGATGTTCTCCAGCCATGAAAAAAGAGACGGGACAAAATATCCAAGGACAAAGACAAATTTAGACACTATATTTCAAGGCAAAGTATTGATAGTATTTATGACGATTTTTTTTTAAATAAACCGGGAGTGATCTCCCCTAAACTTTCTCGAATATTCTTATATAAAATAACAGGGGATGGGAACTCGGGCTATAGACATGATTTTTAATCCATTTTAAATACTTAAAGTTTTAAAAATAGAATAAAATCTCGTAGACAAATTAATTGCACACCAAGTGAACGCGAAATAAAAAAGCGCATAATAGTGCGCAATATTATTATTACTTTTAAAATTTACATTAGTTTTTTGAGAAATCGGAAGTAGCGTAAAGTACTACTTCCAGTCAACGGAAATTACTTAAAATTTAATAGAAGGTAGAGAATTAGATCTTTTACTTACGTATGAAATTTCATTTATCTATCTGAAATAGTACTCAAGTTATAGGCTTTTGAAAAATTCAAAGTAGGAAAAGTACCACTTCCGGTTATCGGAAATCGCTCAAAAGTTGATACGGATCTACGATTTTGATTAAATACTTATATATGAAATTTCATCAACCTAGCTGTAACGGTACTCAAGTTATCGTGTTTACACACGGACACACACACACACACACACACAGACACACAGACATACGGACAAGATTGCAAAAATATGTTTTTCCGTATCAGTGAGATGCAAAACGTCGAGATTTGCAAAAATCTCGATTTTTTTTTTTTTGCACGATTACAAGACTTTCTCTATACTTCGTATATACGAGAAAGTAAAAAGGAGAAAAAGTTTGTAGATATAGTTTTGTTAATATACATTAAACATTTTCTTTTGTAATTAGTAATATAACAACGTAAGGTTAAGTTAAAACATTTCCGATATAGGGACTACAGCATACGTGTACTAGCCTAATCACGCCAGTTTTAATAGATTACAAAGAAGACACGCCTTTGTAGGCGGAGACAGGCCCTATAGAAGAAGACATCCGCTTTGTTTGGTTAATACAGCTATCATCTCAAGTCGACAGATGTATTCTGGTCATTTGTACCGAGGGATTTTTATGAGTCCATTAAAATACCTCAATTTAAAATTATATCTATTGCATTATCTAAAATAAGGATAATATTGTTTTTGTTTGAAAATTATGTTACTTATATAAAAAGTCTTAAGATATCCAAGTCGTTCATATCTCCGTCAAAACTAATTTATTTCTTTGCTTTCTACTCATTGTTGTAGAATCTTTGTATTACAGTATAACAATTATTCATAGGGCCTAACGGTTCTACTTGATCTGATATAAAAAATAAATTTAAAAAAACACATTCTATTGCAAGAAAATACAATTTAGAAAACATTTGCCCATTCCAGATGTGTATTGCGACCCACCATCTATTGACCTGTCCGGTAAGAATTTAATCCAGTACACCTGCCCCGACCGTCACGTGATGGGTGCCAGCTGTGGTCTGTCTTGTCAGGACGGGAACCCGGTCTTTGGTGCCAGCTCCATCAGGTGCCAGAGAGACACGGACGGAAATCTTACCTGGGCGTGGTCAGGTACTACCAGACCTTACTGTGACGGTAAGTGGGTATAGATCACATGATATCTGATCATGTTTTCAAGAGATTTTTGTTTTTAGAATGTAACGACATTGAAAATAAATGTTTACAAAGTAAATAAACCTGAAATCGCGTAACAAGTGGTCTGCTAGTGTTAGAGAGCACGACTGGTAACCTAGAAGTTTCGAGTTCAGATACTGAGTGTCTTTTTTGACGGACATCCCTTAGTCCATCCAACTCTAATGGGTATTAAGTCGCATTTAGAAAAGTAAAGCATGAAATGCGTAGAAAAAAAAAGACTATCACCTCTTATGCTGAAGTCACATAGACAGATAATCTCTATTTCAACTTCGCATGACCAATTGTTTTTTGAAATAAAAAAAAACAGCATGAATTAACATGTTATACTAGACTACCCATCATCCGTTGGATAACTGTGGGTTTCGGGGGTCATCCATAAAAAAACATCCCATCTGTCACTTAACGTCACAAAAAAAAACCAGACCCCACATTCAAAATGATGTTTTTTATTTTTTAAAAAGACAAAAAACACCGATTTCGGACTATCCCTCCATATACTGACGTCACAGGTGACCTACTCAACTCTACTTCACCTGCCCAGTGTCCCGCCAAGTCTCAGACAACATGTTTTAATCGTTAAAAAAAACGATTCCAGCCGAGCATGTCTCTGACCACACTATCCCTTCATATGCTTAGGACAAAGAAACAGATTAACTCTACTTCACCTGCCCTGTATCCCGCCAAGTTCAGATAGGCAACTTTATCATTCACATCTAAAAAATAAAATAAAAATGGAAAAAAAAATTATCATTGACGTATTGGTCAAGACCCTGTGCCACCCGCATGCAAGCCGTTAACACTAACAACTTAGCTATTTAACTCGTGACGTCACAGATGTTTTTTTATACTATAGTTTAATACTTTGAGTCTCCTTATGCAACTTGATTTACGCGCATAGATCTATATCTAAGTCTAGTAGTAGTAACTTTCAAATTAATTTTTTTTCTTAAATTAGTCAAATACATAGCTAAACAAAGATTTATTTAAAATAATGAAGGTCTGAAATTATCTAGATCTAGATAGAATTATCTAGATCTAGATTCTACGACTCGTTTGCTTAACGCTTTATTTACGGAATTAGGTTCCGAATGACATTTTTTCTTGAATAATGTGTTATCATATTGCTTTTGGTACATTTAAACCATATGTCGAAGGAAATTTTGTTTCATAAATTTTTAAGGGCCCAAATATGTATTGGTACTTATAAGTAACGTCAGGAATATAGGACATTTTTCTCCAAATATTAAAAAATTTACAAAACAGGAAAAAACGATAAAACTTATTAAATAATAACATGGCAATCATTATAGCCATAATTTTTTTTGTAATTTTCACACATAAACCCAGCACAAAAGTATATTTTGAGTACGATTTTACTGGATTTTCTATCGGAACACATCTTAGACCTCAAACACAGCAAAAGGTGTCGACATGTCATGCTCCCTCATTCCTCATTCCTGAGACATTCTTGGCTGTCATCTTTCTGGTGTGGCAACAGTTGCCGGACTGAACCTGCTTTTGCTGGAGGCTTCCAATAGCCATTACAATGAGCCGCATAAACAAATATATTTGAAAACGAAATCCTAGTCATTCAGTACACTACTACTAGTAATACTAGTTAGCCTACTAGAATGTTATGACAAGTCTACACTACAGTGTAAAGTTCATAACTAGAAGTGAGCTCAATGTGTTTGGAATAGCCGTAGTGGCCTACTGTTTTGTGCAACTGCCACCTCTATTCTTGTTATTCTTTTACTACTAGAAATCTGCAATGAAGGAAAACCCTATACAAACCTTCTTATAAATGCATAAATATATTTTTAAGTACATATCGATAATTAATTATCAAAATAATATTTATGTCACTCCACATCGAAAATCAGCAATTTCCAAGAAATCCTAAAAAAAAATGTCCTTGTGCTCTGACGGTACTTATAAGTCCACTTGTAAACATCGATCTATTACAAAGACAATTTGATAAAAATTGTATAACTAGAAGTTAAACGCATTTGCCTGACTATTGAAGATGCCAATAAAATAATTCGGTGTTGAAAACGTGAGAATAAGGTAAAACAAATGGAAATCAGGTACACATGTGAGATATGTACAGTGAACTACCGATACAGGTAGAGATTGAAAATGGCGCCACACCAGTAATTTTCAAAAACCATCGTTCCCTCCACCTACCGGTGACTTAAGGGAGATAATACTTTCAATTACATCAATAATTTTTAAAATTCGTCTTAAATTAAAAATAATACAGGCGCTTAATTAAAGTGGTACTTATAAGTACCGTCAGTAGATAAAGGATTAAGTCTTAAGTCTAGTTTTTGCGTAGAATCTAGATCTATAAATAACTTGCTTAGCCACCTGATATTTTTAGATCTAAAAATAACTTTCTTGGACAGATTGTAGAGCTAGAGAAATTTATTGTAAAACTAAATGAAAAAGACAGTTGAAAATTTATATAAGTGTTGGAACGTAATAAAAACAGCAAACGGACGTATTGTTAAAGTTATGGTCGACAGAAAATTAGATTTAGAACGCGTTAAACTTTTGAATGGGCCACAAAGTCTATGATGGAAGCCGCCATCTTATTGTACTAAAAAGTAAACAAAACTTGTGACGTTACTATTCAGTCAAAGAAAGCCATTGTTCTAAAACTTTAAAATTAAGGTAATTAATCTACCTATGAATAAATCAATAAATTAATCAACCTCTTTAAATAAATTTGTAATTAACAGTCTGTTTGAAAAGAAAAATTGTTCTCTACCTACAGACTATTTTACAGCCCTACACATAGAGTAGATTCTCTCCAGTAGTCAATCAGACAAACAAAAAAACAAATAAATATTCAAACATGTAAATAAACTTGAGTTTTAGTTATATACTAGACTACCCGTTATCTAGTTAGCTAACTGTGGGTTTCGAGGGTCATCCATAAATGACATCACGTCTGTCACTAATCATCACAAAATAACCAGACCCCACATTCAAAAAGACTTTTTTTTATCCTTTAAAAACACACTATCCTTTCATTTACTGACGTCACAAGTGACCTTTAAAAAGTTCTATTTAATTTTAATGACACAGACTTCAAAATTTAGCCTTAATTCTCCAAAGCAAATTTTAAAATGCTTTTCTGGCATATCTAGCCATGGCCACCTATAGCATGTTTATATAACATGAAAATCCGCCAATTTGATCGTGGTAAACATAGCCGAAAAATAGTAGGAAGTCATGCGTCCGGTCCAGACGCCATTGTTGTTAGCAACCGGCCACGCCTCCAATAAAGCGAGTAATCCTACTATATCTAGCTCTAGAACCTAGATAGATAAACCTGATGTATTCTCGAATTAGATGTTCATTAAAGCTAAACAAAGATTTATATAAAATAAGGCCTGAAATAGATTCTAGATGTAGAATTTGCATTAAGTCTAGATCTAGAATTTACGTAAAGTCTAGTGACCTAGATCTAGATCTAAAATCTAGATTTCATAACATGTTCTTCCTTCGACAGCTGATCTGTAGATCTAAAGAAATTTATCGTAAAACTAAATGAAAAAGACCGTTGAAAATTGATTTTAAGTGTTGGAACGTAATAAATACAGCAAACGGACGAATTGTTTAAGTTATAGCCGAAAGAAAATTAGCTTTAGAACGCGTTAAACTTTGGAATTGGAACACAATCTTATTCGATAGACGCCGCAATTTTATTGTACTAAAAAGTAAACAAAAAAAATGTGACGTCACTGTTCCGTCAAGTCTAGTCGTCTTTTAAAATTAATGTGGTTAATGTACCTATGAATAAATCAATAAATTAATTAACGTCTTTAAATAAATTGGTGATTAACAGTCTGTCTGAAAACAAAAGTTGTTCTCTACCTACGTACTATTTTACAGCTCTCCACATAGAGTAGAACCATTTACAATAGTCAATCAGACAAAGAAAAAAACAAACGAAAAAATAAATATTAAAACATGTAAACGAACTTGAGTTTTAGTATATATATATATATATATATATATATATATATATATATATATATATATATATATATATATATATATATATATATATATATATATATATATATAAATTTGTATATATATATATATACAAATATATATATATATATATATATATATATATATATATATATATATATATATATATATATATATATATATATATATATATATATATATATATTTAAATTTATATATATATATATATATATATATAAATTTGTATATATATATATATACAAATATACATATATATATATTATATATATATATATATATATATGTGTGTGTGTGTGTATGTGTGTGTGTATGTATATATATGTATGTATATATATATATATATATATATATATATATATATATATATATATATATATATATATATATATATATATATATATATATATATATATATATATATATATATATATATATATATATATATATATATATATATATATATATATATATATATATATATATATATATATATATATATATGCATATATATGTGTGTGTAAGTGCGTGCCTGCTTGCGTGATGCGTGTGTGTGGTTGTGTTTACGTTTGCGGGGTGTGTAATCTTAGCTCCTAGCGCCAAATGTAAAAAAATTCGTAAATACATGTTCGTCTAATTGAGACACAAGCCTTTGGCTCACGTAATTTTGCAGTGGCGAATTAATTTAAGAAATTTCATTTAAAAAAGTTTAATAACAAGCTTTTATGTAATAATGCACTAAAAGGAGAAAAATAAATAAATTATAGACTACTATTTAAATAACTATAAAGAAAAGTGTGGGTCAATTTAGTATCTACTGGATACCTTTACTAATATTTAAGAAGGGACCCACGTTTTTCCTTATACTTATTTAAATAGAAGGGAATAAATTATTTTCTCCATTATAGTGCATT